CATCTGTCTTGTTCACTCCTTCCTATACTCATAGTCCTAACTGTTCTTTCATTTCTGCTAAATCAAATCGTATCCTGGCCTTTTAACTTTGATTTTCTTATGAACTCCCTGACAAAGAACTTTATTTCAGACAATCACTATTTGCTGAATGCTCAATTTAAATTTTGTTCCAACAGTGCTTGATGGTAGCTATTATCCCACTTTGGACTGAAAGCTGGCATCAGATGCAGCAGCACACCTACTCCATGTTCTTATCACCAGGAACCCAGATGTTTTCCCTACTGCAGGTGTGGATGAATACCTCAGTCTTGTTTGTTCTTTTGGTGAGACAGACAACTTGGCTTCATTTTGTAGCGTCTGATCCTTTATTCTTTGCTCTTCACTTTTCCTGAAGAAATTTAATTAACTCCTTGTTCAGTCTCTTAAAGGTTCCTGGCTATTACAGTCCCTACTAGGAAATGTAGTAACGTGGAGCCCACCCAAGTCAAAGGTGCCAAGACTTCTGGTCATATAATCACTGCCATCTTGAAGTTTTGCAAAGCAAAAATAACAACAACATGACAACAAAAAAAAAGGCTGCCACACTAAATCTAATTTGACCACTTAATGGAAGTTCCTTGGATCACTTCATTATTATCTATCCTAAATCATTGCTGCCTTCTTCTTGGCCAGCTTATCTAAATTTATCTGGAGTCAGAGATGCCTCACTTTTTTCCCAGCTGATGAAACCACTTTCAGTGTTTCTTTCCAGGCAGGATGTAGATGGACTCAACTTTCAGTGTGCAGACTTGTAAAGCAAACTTCCTGATTTGAATCCTGGCTTTACCAGGATGATCACTGTGATCTGGGGCAGGTTAATCACTCTGAGTCCCAATTGTTTCATCTGTAAACAGCTCTCTCACAATTTGGGAGATGATCACTGATTTGGGGCAAGGCATTTAATCTCTGAGTCTCAATTTTCTCATCTGTAAACAACCCTCTCACAGTTAGGAGTGAGGCGATTAAATGGCATAATTTATATGAAGTGAACACCCAAATACCTGACACGTGGTGGTGCTCCTGACAGATAAGAGTTTCAAGGTTTGGCTTACTTCTCCTCTGTGCTCACAGATGAGCTTGAGTGAATATTCAGGATTCCAGGCTGCTAGCCCATCTTTACTTGACACTTTCTGCTGTTTCTTTTTTTCTTTCTTTATTTTTTAAAGAGAGAGAGAGAAAGAGAGAGAGAGAATTTTTAATATTTATTTTTTAGTTTTCGGCGGACACAACATCTTTGTATGTGGTGCTGAGGATTGAACCTGGGCCGATACCACTTGAGCCACATCCCCAGCCCCCTGCTGTTTCTTATCTATCCTGACTGTGTAGACTTTGGTCTGTTTTCATCTCTGCTGACTTTGGTAATTGTTGGCATTTGTTCTGTTTTTCTGGATTATTGAAATCTAGCTTGTCTCTGTCCTCTGGTGATTATAGGACTTCTGGATATGTTTCAATAACTTGTGGATGTCTTATCTTGTAGTTTATTCTTGGTTTCCAGATACTACAGTCTTTACCTACTTACTTCAAACTGTGTCATTCACAGTTCCTCTACCCACTTGATGATTCCCAACGTCTAACATTCAGTCATGATCCCAAGCTCAAAATAGATGCATATTCCTATTAGCTCATTTGACATATTTTAAAACATTCTCCCTCAGTTTGACATACTTGTGGATGATAATGTCTTTTTCTTTTTTTCTAGCACCTACCAAGCACAATGCCCAGCACATATTAGACACCCAGTGAATGACTATATGAATAAACATATAGCATAAGAGAAACTCTTGTGGTACTCATTTCCAAATTTTTGGCATCATGTAAAAAAATATATTATTCCTTTGGTGCAATTTATTTTTCAAGACCAAAGCCTCATTTTAAATCATTGTCTTTTGCTGAAAATCTTTGAACTTACTCGGAAAACTGCTTTGTAATTTGTTTTCACGTTATGTGCCCAGGCTTCTTCTATAAGTCCCACTTAAAATTTAATTTTTTCAAACTTTTCTTCTGCAGAGGAAATAAATCTTTTAATAGAACCAATCTCTAGCCAGCTAACCATTCTAAGTATGAAAATTTCCCTGACAGCTGCTGACATTTGTCTAAGCACATTGACTATATTGGTCTTTTTGGGCTCTGGCTTTGTTCATTTCTTCCTCACCAGCTGTAGAGAAAGTCCTGGGCTGGGATGTATTTTCAACCATGCAGTTTATAAACTAATTCCCAAATAAGGAGCTGCTGCTTCTCAAGAAAGCTATAAGATCTATCTAGGCTGTTTTAAATATTAATTAAAGAAAACCAGAATGGAAACATGGATAGTTTCAAAATATCAGTCTTAATTCACTAACTCTGTGCCCTTTTCTGTGAAAGGAGGATAAAAGTGATATGTCAAGAAAACTATCCTCAAGGAGCTTTATTTCTATTGGAGGGACTAGGTCTGAATTTTGAAACAATGCCAGGTAGTCTTTAACTATTGGGCTGCACAAAGGAGGAAGGGTGTGGAAGGCTAGAGCAGTGGAAAAAAGCATGTAGGGAAAAGAGCAAATCTGATGTGGATCTTAGTGGAGTCCATGGGAGGTTCCAAGACAGGAGGAGAGATGGGGCTGAGAGTGTAGGGAGTGCTAGTTATGGTGTGTGTTTACCAGGCTTGGAGTGTCTTGGTAGCCAGAAGGTGCCGTGCAGTGATTTTTCACAGCAGGGACAGTCATGCACCACTTAAAAATGAGACACATTCTGAGAAATGCATTGTTAGACGATTTTATCATGTGATCATCAAGAGTGCCAGATAGTTTAGTCTTCTACACACCTGGGCTATATAATATATACAGGGTATATAGAGCCTGTTGCTCCCAATGTCATGATGAACAAAGCAAAATGAGATTAAATCATATGCAAGAGAAAATGATTCAATGAAGAGATGTGTGAAGTACAAGATATTTGAAGCTTCTGCCAGTGTAATAGGGCATACTGTTTACATTAAATTTTCTCTAGGTAGGAGTAGCACTCTAAAATAACAATGAAAATATAATAAAATACATACATAGGAGCTAGGGCTGTGGCTCAGTGGTAGAGCGCTTGCCTAGCATGTGTGAGGCACTGGGTTTGATCCTCAGCACTACATAAAAATAAATAAATAAAATAAATGTCTATCAACAACTAAAAAATTTTTTAAAATGAATACATAAACCAGTAACATAGTTGTCTTTATTATCAAATGTGTACTGTATATAATTGTGTGGGTTATACTTTTATACTACCAGCAGCATATAGGTTTGTTCACACTAGCATCACCATGAACATGTGGATACTGTGGGGCAATATAGCATCATTTGGCTACAACATCACTAGGTGATAGGAATTTTTCCATTACAATCTTATAGGACCATTGTTGTACGTGTGGTCCATTATTGAAATACCCTGTATATGGAACAGGTGTCAGTTCCTTTGACACTTTGCACATTTGACTTTGGACTCTTGATGTCTCCTTTCCTGCATTCCCATCCACCTGTGGCTGATCTCCTTTGCATCTCACACATTCTGTTCCATGTTTGTCTTCTGCCTACCCAGACTTTATGTTGGCCTTTCTTATACACTTATTCATGGGCTTCTCTAAATTATCTTCCCACCTTTGGGCAACCAACACTTTGATTCCCTGAGGATTACTGGTCTTGAAAAACAGAGATCAACTAGTTCTTACTAAGACAGTATTTTTGTATTTCCATTTTAAAAGAAGTTATGAATTCAAATGTGTTTTTATCTTAGCATATGTGGGGAAGATAAACAAATTTATAGTCTGATTCTGAAAGATTGCTTACTGTTATAGTATAGAAGAGTGCACATTAAGATTGATTATCTTTGGTGGAGGAGGAAAAAAAATCTCAGAAAGATGTGTTTTGGACATTGAATTCAGTCCTGAATTAATGGAGTAATCAGCACATGAATGGACACTATAAAGAGCCACTGCTTAGAATAGACAGAGGTTAAACTATATTTGTGGTGGATAATTGTGTAGTGGAAGGTATGAATCACTCTCAGAGGCCCTAGATGAGTCAAAAGAATTGCTAATTATGTCTTTCTGTGCAGTTTGGGGCCATGGGTAAAAATATCATGATTGATACCAGCATGTGTAGAAATAGGTCAAGATGAAATCTCACTGACAGTGAAACAGAATTGCCCAAAGGAGGCTTTTCTGTGTCTTTCAGATCCTCCTCTGGTTCTCATTCCCTTCCCATCATCCCAGTTTACACTCTCATTACCTTGCACTGTGATGATTGCAAGTGTCTCTTAACAGGTGCCATTACTTCCTGTCTTTTTCTCCTCCCAAGCATTCCATAGGTGCATGTCAGCTCAGTCTT